CATATTCTCACTCATATAATGGACCTTAAACATCCAATGCAATACTATAAGAAAATGACTGACAGTACTGGGAAACTACGGGGGGGGGAGGGGAGAAAGATGGGATTAACGGTAGCAAATATCTGTCTGGGAACCGGGAAACACCTCATATCAATAGGGTGCCTGAATGAAATGTAATTGTACACCTAACCCTTAACTGTACCCCACAACATCATAATAAAAAATAAATAAAAAAAAAGAGACAAAGCCAAACAAAACAAAACAAAACAACTCCTTTCACTCAATATCTTATGCATTTGAAAGGCACAGTTTAAGAAAGATTTATAGAAAAAAAATTGGGTATATCCCCTCATTTCTTTCTTCCCTTCTTGAGATGTTAAGTTGTACCAAGGAAGTATAAAGTGGTTTTCTGAGAAAAAGTCAAAGTGCCTATTGGCTGTATTTTTCTAGATCTTGGTAGCACTGCACTGGATTCTGGATGGTACAGAAAATGATCTTTCAGTTAAACCATTGTCCAGTTGTTACTTTGTTTAGTGCTCACTAACTATACAATTTTAGAAGGATTATCGGGTAAATGAAGGTTATTCAGTAAAGTTGTCTGGACTTAACAAAATCGGGTGAATTCATAACAAACTTCTCCATAGGAGATAACATGGCTGGCAGAAACCTATTTTGAGAATTTGGAAGAAAATATAGATTACTCCTAAATGGTTATAACTAAGTAATGCTGTGTGTGATATTTACCTTCTGTGGAATTTTGACTTTTAAAAATGAAATTCAGCTCTTTCCCCTTGACTTTTAGACTCTTTGCTATTCATTATTGAACACCACCTTTTAGCTGTTAATAGACCTTCTTTTGCTGCTGACATGCTTTCAGTTCTACAGTTTGTGGGCAAATAGATATTAGAAAAGCAAGTAAATCATCATGATGCTCCATATATTACCTTTGCAAATAATTCTTTGGGCAAGAGCCCTAGACTAATAAATGAGAGCATGTGGATAATTTAGAAAGGTTTTCTTTTAAAGAACCAATTGCCTGGCAATTGAAAGATTCAAAGTGCTTTTTTATGGCACTTTTGTTTGAATTAATTTTTTTAAATGAGAGTTTCACTTCATTTAGAACTGGTTTTGTGTTTCTTCAATTTGCACTCCTAGAAGGATCTGAACAACACTGCACTTTGGAAAAAAAAAGTAAGGAAGTTGATTTATAGTAGAACACCAGAAGATAAAGTTCCTCAGGCCCAATTCTTTTTGGAATTGTGGAAACAGACAGGAGGTGAAAATGGGTAGCTGTCCTCTCTGCAGAGCCAAAGCTCCCCTCTCAGGCAGTCAGCAGTAGGCAAAGGCTGATGAAGTGAGTCTGAGGTCGAGACCACAATTCATTCTCTTGTTTTAATGCAATTTCAACTAGCTAATACATATAAGGTGTTTCAGGAGCATTAACATTTTGAGCCTTAGGCAATCAGATCTGAGGGCTCATTCTGTTCGATTCATAATGTGGATTATATTTTATAATGTTGCTAAGACTTGATTATTTGCACATCCTAGCAGGTATAGCTCCTGCTCTGAACATTTGAAAGAGAACTGCTATAGAACACTGAACATTAAACAGAAAGCTACAGTAGGTAAATCTCATAGAAATAAAGAAATTATCCTATAATCGCCGTGTGAGAATTATGTATTTGGATGATTATCACATCAGCAGTTTAATTTGACTATCTTGGCAAGCACTGAAGATGAAGGAGTGGCAAAAGGAACTCTTGGTGCATTTTATGACACTGCAGGTTAGCATAGTGACAAGAAAAACATTTTTTTCCACACCATATTGAAACATATATGCCCCCCCATCATCTACTTGTATCTATGTCTCTATAGACAGATATAGATAAATAAAGATACATACATACTCAAACAAGACACAATGATCACCGAAAGTGTTTGTAAACATTAATGTTAACTTGTGGACATACATTGATTTGAAACACATCCTTTACTTTAAATAGCTTTGATTTTCTGTCTAGAAGACAAAAGAGAACATTAATAGCCATCACTTGTGAAGTTTACCTAGTTGAATGTTAGTGCTTCTAAAAATGAATCAATATTCATGACCTTTTCCACATTGCAGGATTAAAGGAATACATAATTTTTCAAAAATGAAAATGAAATTATTAAAAATGTTAAGAAAATATTTGTGCACTTTCATTTTAAGAGGAACTGAAAAGAGATCATAAAACACCTTTTGACATTAATGAAAATGGCTGTTGGTATATAATGCAACCCAATTAATTTGGAATCTGTAACAGAAAAAAGACGGAATGTGTTTTGCTTCTCTTAACTTTGTTTTAAAACTCCCATAAAGAAGAATAAAAATGAGAAGGGAATAATATTCGTACTTAGAGTTAAGTTGTGTGTTAAATGGAGGCAGCATCACTTATTTGTATACAGTACAGTCACTATTCCCCCAACAACTGCAAGTGTCCAAGGAGTTTTCTGGAGGGGACTATGCAGAAGTTTACTTGGCTTAAATAAAAGGAAGACACACTTTTAAAAAGTAGAAGCGCGAGGGAAAAATGGTCAAAATTTTTTCATGGTCCCAAGTTAAAAAAAACACAAACCTTTTTTCTAGTTGTTGTTGTTATTTTTTAAAGTGAGAAAGCAGGATTGTTGAACAGACAGAAAAGCTCCCAGAGTTAGAGGGGACCCAAGGGGTTGCCTCTAGTTTTTTTTTAAAGGTATGTTTTGTAAGTACTGTTCAATAAGGAAGTTAAGCAGAGAACTACAGGTTAGAGTTGCCATTCTAAGATATCTTTTAATTTGCTCTTTCGCCAAATCCACGGGAGACTGGGTATGTGTCAGAATGTCACGGAAAGATTTAAATAATAACCGGTGTAACAATAACAATTAAAAATGCATTTCCTGAATTGGAAAGCACGATAAACTACTTTTAGAGACAAAGCACAAGACTCGCTCAAGTTAAAAATAACTAGGGAGTTAAATTCTAAGGTTTCTGCAGACTTGCTGATGGTATTTGACTGCCCTGGTTCTATAACCGGATTTTAGCAAGCCTATAAAAATACTTAAAAACTTTTTGTTGCTGGTGGTGTGTTTCCAGCATAGATAATGGATAGCTTATGACATTCAGGTTATAGGTCAAATCTGAGGCCTTATTGCACATCCTGAGAAAATTACTTTTTGAGTAACATGTACTACAACCTTCAACTCTTAATAGGGCAGAAGGAGTCCAGATATGAACACTTACACATTCAAAGTAACCAGATTACATATGATTTCTATGTGTTCTGAAATGACTCCATTAATACAATTTCAGAATTCATTTCTCTACCACAAAACAACAACGAAAGCTTAGCAATATTCTAACATGTACAGGGAAATCATTGCTTTTGACTGGTTATTCAAAAGATTATTGTAGCATCTCTAATACATGGAAAATGTTAGGGAACATGTAAAACATTTACTATGTATTTTTTTTTTTTAAAAAAAGACATTTCAACACACTATACTGACTTCTGCTTATTTCCTTATAACTGCAACATAATTGAAAAAATAAACTGAGTCAGGTAACTCAATGCAAATTCAGTCTGATGTTAGAAGCAAACTGCCTATGAGACTAAATCAGATATAAGACTAATTCAGAGTTTTTTAAAACAACGTTAAACAGCATTTCAAATCACCTAGAATCAAATGTCTGTTTTAAAAACTGATGATAGTCTAAAAATCATCTTTTTATGGAAAAATCACAAGTCAGAGCTTGCCATTTATTTTATCTAAGACAGGTTTGGTGATTATCCTGTAAATTAACATTGATTTTTGTGCAGACTTCAATATTTCTGATCTCGAGAAATTGTTCTTTTGTCCAAAATGGCCATTTGCAGAATTATGGCAAATGTCTTCTGGTGAAGTGTTTGCCTCTCTGAGAAAGCAAACAGTTTTCCTTGTGTCTATATTTGTTCATCTTTCTTTCCAAGTCTAGTTTTAACATGGTAGGAAAAAAAACAACAACAAAAAAACAAAAAACCCCCTCAAAACTCTATATATTTATTGTTACCAGCTAACCCACAAGGTGGCACTAAAGAGAAAAGTGACAAAACTGAAGATTGCAGGCAAGTTAGATATAAATCAGTTATATTATGAGAATTAAACCTATTTCATAAAATGGTATCTATATTTTAATATGCTAATAACTCAGAACAGTTATGGCTTTCTCCCTATAGATTGTTTTGGAGCAAAATGATTCATTCAACCAAGGAGCAGGTTATTTTCAAATGAGTTAGTAATTTGATTGAATGTTTTTGTGTAGTTATTTTGTAGGGAAGTTTTAATTTTTTTTTCAGATACAGACCCCCATGACCATTGTTTAGTTATAAATGATAATTGGTTTTATTTTATGTTTTGTATAGTTCCCAGTGCTTAATGTTCTAAGTAAAAAAGTCCTTACATTTAACCTTATAATATTAGTAACATAATAATAGATTTAGACTTTAAATATTTGTAGTTATAGCATATACATAACCTATTTTTAAATGAACACACAAAAGGCAGTTTAGCCAAAGCCTAATTGTTTAACTTTAAAAATATCTAAATTGCCAAATCCATCTTCACCTAACCTGGAGAGTAGCTTCCGACCCTGTATAAAGCGAAAATGGGGAAATGCTCTGACAAAAGCACGTACAGAGAAAGAAAAATATAGTATGACATTGGCATGACCTTGGCATATAATCCTGAAATTAAAGAGGCATGGAGAATTCCTAGATATAGTGCCATGTGGTAGAAGGAACTGGGTCTTTTCCTAGAAAACACCTCTGAATATCAGCAAGGAAGAGCATGAACCAAAAAAAAAAAGGAGATTATTCTTCAGTTTATGACTAAGAAAATATGTGATTTATACACAGGTATAAAACCTGAAGAAAAAAATCATAAATCTTTTCCCTAGTTTGAAAATAAGAATTCAGTGAGGTTTAAGAACAATATAATTTCTATAATAATTATTATTATTTTGTATTATATACATATATGTAGGAAAATATCTTCTAGCAGAAGTTGTTTTTCTCATTTGGAAATGACTGCATCCTTGACTTTGCAAAACTATTTATTATGTATTTTGTATTATGTTATATATTTAGATAGGAAAACACTGTTCAAAATCAGCTTTTAATAACTCATATAAGTCTGAAAATCAGACTTAAATATTAGTGCTATTCATTATCTAAAACAAAAAATTCATATTTCTGCTAATTTCCCTTTATCCAATACAATGATCACTAACTATTCAAATTCAGGAAAATACTGTAATTACCTCATTTAAAGAGCTATATTGATAAACATTTATTTCTGAAGTTTCTGAAATAAGTGAAAGTTTTAAGTGTTAAATAATGTATTTTATTATTAAATGAAAGAACAGGGAATAAATGATTAGAAAAGAGAAGAAAACCCTATATGGACTAGAAGACAGATGTAGAAGAAACAAATCAGGATATTTTATGTTTTTATGTGACTTTACATTAATATGTATCTAAGCGTGCCTTTCAGATACTTTTCATGGTTTGAAAGAGGTGAGGCACCATTCAAATTATGTAAATTTGAGCTGTTAAATAAGCCTGGGTTAAATATATATTTTTGGATGCATTCAAGAGGTAAGATTTCTAAGCCATGTAAACTGCTTGTTCTGTAGCATGAAAATAAGCTATAGTCAACTATTTCAAGTACTTAATTCTCAATTCAGAATGAATAATACTGTCTTTTTTCCCTTTCTAATATTACTTTACAAGATTATAATTATTACTCTGCTCAGGGTCATATTACATTTTTTTCCATTTGTTCATTTTATTTAATAAATGCTCATATAGCTCTAATCATGTGCTAGACACTCTCTCCTCCAGCGAGGGTATAGACCAAGCTTGTTTGGGTCAGTGCTATATCCCTAGCATAGTGCCTGGCACTGACTTTGTAATTGATGTAGCAAATATCAATTATGCAATTGGCTTACCTTCAGGGAATAGTATGCCATAATGGTTAAGTGTACAGGTGATGAAGTAACTGCTTGGTTTTGAATTTCAGCACCGCCATCTGCTAATTAAATGACTCTGGTTAAGATATGTAATCTCTTTGAGGCTCAGTTTCCCCATTTGTAAAATGCGAGAAATAACAACATTGACCTCAAAGTGGCAATTTTCATGATTAAAGGATTAAAAAGATAAAATACTTAGACAAATATCTGGCACAAGTTAAGCTCTCGAAAAACCTTAGCTATTATTATCATTAGTTCTTCCTGACATATTTATCTAGAAACACAGATTTAGGCAATTTAAATTCATGGTAACAAATACATCAGTATATTTACGATTTCCATTTCTTGAGCTACTAGACAGATTGACTAGTTCAATAGAAACATCTCTCAAACATTACCTAGTTCCTATAGATTGTAGACTTTGATATATATTTTGTTTTCAGTTTTCATGAATAAACCAAGCATTTCCATGATACATACTTTACCTTTTTATGGAGAGTTCTTACAGAAATCATAATACAAAGAGCCCAGAGTGAACACTAGAGTTTTAAACTAGCATTAGAATCACCCAAATAAAACTACAACTTCCTTGAGGTCCTAATTTTCTGTTATTTGGATAGAACATTTAATGTTGGAATTGGGTATGACACTGTGGATTATTTGGTTATGCTTTTCTTCACATTTGCCACCTAGAGATACTCTTTTTATGCTGTGAGATTTGTTTTCTCGTAGTGTAAGCATAATTATTAGATTTTCCTAGGACTAATAACTTATAGCAATATATTAATAGGTTAGAATTTTAAAAAATCATAGCTTCACAGATTTTTATGAGATAAAAAGGCAAGCAGATTTACATGTATATTCCATTTAGATTAATTATTTTAAATAAACAAGGCAGACATCTAACAGTGAAATCAAGGTGTTCAGTGTAGTGGACAAACTACAGATATCACAAAATTTCATTATCTCAATTATGCTACTTTTAAAGAATTCTCTATCTTCAAGATCTTGAGGAATGTTCTGTGTGGAAGGGTGGTTCTTATATGAAACACTGCAACAATGTCAGCACATCAGTGGGTAAAATGTTATAAAATTTTGCACAATTAAAATAGAAACAAAGTTTGCAGTAATGTGAATTTACGCAAATTAAAAATTTCATAAACTACCACAATTTAAAGTTTCAAACGCTGTTTTACTATTGCCACATGGCAACACCACTTCAGCTGCTAAACAGAAACATCCATCATTTTTTGTCTTCCACGGTCTTCAGTTGCAGGAGATCTTCATAAACGTATCCCCCTCATGAGATACATCAGGCCTGTTTTGACTGCCAGGGTGGTAAGGTGTGTTTGTTTTCCCTTATCCTTTTGCTAGTAAAGTGTGCTTCTATTAAATTTCTTCACCCACTAAAGTTTCAATTTTTAGTGGATTTTTTGTTTTTGCTTCTCATGAAGAACTTTAATTTAAAATTTCTTGAGAACACATATAAGATAGTATATTAGCTTCTGCCTTTTTTTTTTTCCATAGAAGTCGAGAGCTGGAAGAGACTTACAAGGTTACATAGTCTAACTCATTTATATTAGCACGTCAAGAAATTGAGTCCATTAAGTAACTAGGTTAAGATGATGAAGGAAAGTGAAGGTGAGCTGAATCTAATTCTTTCTCCTGAGCCAAGTTGTTTAGACATAAAGTACCAATGTCACATGCAAAGACTGAGCATACAAGGACACTTAAGAAGTATGTACTTCTACCGCAAACCAGTGTGAAAAGAAAAAAAGAAAATCAGAACAGGTATAAACAATCAAAAAGTTAAGACCCTGAAGGCAGTACTATCACTGAAGATAGTTCATTTTGATTATTTATTTACAGGACTAAGGTATAGATTTAATTTAACTTCAATTTGTCCTCATGTATATTAAACACTCAGACTACTTTTACAAGTACCTGAATCAAATATGATTACAAAATGACTTTAATGACATTTATTAGTTAAAAAAGATAATCACAAGATTCTCCTAACAAATAAATATGTTTCTGAGAGAAGCATCAGGCACTTGAGAAGTCTTATTCCTTTGTTTACAGCACTGTATGGCTCTAGCACTGGCAAAATCAAATCTTTATCTAATCCAGTGACCTACAACACTGAGGGCAACTTTTAAAAGGAATATTAGTGAATAATCTTTTAATATTTTTGTGCAGTACACAATTTGAAATTCTAACCTCTTTCTTTTGGTTTGAAGGTAGAATGGACATTTTCTAAAAAAAAATATTAAAAATTATTTTACCAAAGTGCTTTCTTCTCAGGGAAATGGTGCTATGTACTTTCAGAAATTAGAAAGAAAGATAGAAATAAAGAAAGCTCACTGGGACCCTTTTGTAAGATTGATATGAGAGGAAGATATATGCATATATAAATACATATATATACGCTCTTGACTTTGATACTAAGTTTTTTTGGGTAAAGTTTCTTTTAAGTGGAACCAATAGCTAATAAGTTGTGCCCCTCTTAGTGAATAGACTTGTGTCTGCTTCTTCTGGGTCTCAAACACAATCCACTTACTTATTTAATAATAGTAGAGACTTTACTAACTGGAAAATGTATGTCTTAATTTTGTAATAGTTGAGAGCTGCCTTGCAGTAATTTTTAGAAGTACATAGACACATTGATAAAATACAAAGAAGAACAGATGGAGGTAGAGAGTGGACAGACAGATGACAGACTGGAAGGATAAGAAGGGGGAGAGAGAGGGTGAAGAGAACTGGGTTAAATGGTACAAATATACACTAAGATATAAGGAATAAATTCAATGTTTATAGCAGAGTAGGATGGTATACTTAACACAAATGTGTTGTACTCGGGTGATGGACACCCTAAATATCCTGACTTGATCACTATGCATTATATATATGTAACAAAATTTCTCAGATCTTCATACATTTGTACAAATTTTTTAAAAGAACAGAAAAAGGCATACTTGAATCTTTTTTTGACTAATATTTTAGAGAGAGATAGGGGTTAAAGATCCCTCATTGGATAACCTCTTCATTTAGGCAGGGGTTCTCGACTCCTAGGGATGGTTCCAGAAGCCTTTAATAATCAAATACACTGGCTTCATGGACTTAAGATCAGTAATCCTGAATTACTCTGTTACAACCCTGAAATCAGAGAAGTCAGTGACTTACTGAGCAGCACAGGGCTCCTTGTACTTGCTTGCACTATAGTTCCTGATTCTGTGAAAACAAACCAATGAACCCCAACTCCTCAACTCTTAAAATGCATACAGCCAGATACATATGGACAGCAAGAGCACAGACATTTAAAAACAGAGCAGAAAAAAGTAACTTGAACAGAATGTGGCATTTCCCTTGGTCTGTTGCTAACGGCCCACATACAACATGCTTAAAAAATCCCACCCTGGCACTTATTTTCATCATCATTTTAAAATGTTTCAAATGGACATTTAGAATGTATGGCACTGAGCATGTATCCCATCTGGGGATAAATAGAAAGGAGCCTTCTTGAGCAAGGCTGTGTTTTCAGTGGTTATCAGGCTGAGATTGATGTGTATTTGGGTCTCTTTTCTTTGGTCATGCTTTTAAAGCCGAACACACTATTTTAATTGTCTGTTTTGAAGACATGAAAGAAACATGTAAAGAGGAATTACTTCATTTTCTTTATATTATTCCTTATATTTCTTGTTGACGCTGAAACCAATCACACTTTGTTTTATTAAAAAACTAGAGACTCTTTCTTCTTAGCTGTCACATTTGGGGTGGCTGTTTTCTGAATTATTATTCACACAAATTCTGAGGGTCAGATATTCCATATACTTGTACATACTCTGCACTATAATTTTAAACTCCAGTAAACTCAGACAAGAGTCCACAGTCAGCCAATGGGCTATGAACCTGTTTTTGATGCTTCCTGCTGTCAGCAAACACGTTCCATTGATAACTGTTCGAACAAAGTTTAAAACATTTTCATGATAACACTGGAAAGCTGCAAAAAAAGTAAATATGGCTAGGTAAGTGAAAAGCTGACCGTTTATTCACTGTTCTATGAAGTCCAAAGTCATGGGGCTTTTCTCAGTCTCAAGTTTTTGGTCCTGCATGCTACACTGTAGGCATTATATTTTAATCATTTCTGCATTCTAAACATAGATATTGTCCTGGGGGAAAATCTCTCCTTCCTTTGGCCTCTACTTCCGGAGAATTCTAATGCTTCGCTGCTAACCATTATTTTGGTGCTGCACACCTTGGACACATTACACAGTATAATATACGCAGTCAGGCTTTGGAGAATTTATTTCAATTTACATACAATCCCCCGAATCCTCTGGCGAGTTTGATGTGAAATCTCACACAGCCACATCTCCCCAGCAAGATCTTCCTTTGCTCTCTATGTTAATAGCCAAAGGCTCCAAGAATTCCGCCGGGGAGCCGAGGTGGGGACAAGGAGTCGGGAAGAGGGGTGACTGCGGGGCTTGTTGCACCGAAGATTTACAATGTACTTCTTGCAGAAGGCTCAGCAACCCCCTCTGTGGCTGTGGGTGTCTGGTGTGACAGAGCGGAGAAAAGCTCTCTAATCTCCCAGTGCCTGTCTCTGCCGCTCAACCGCTCCCCTCCCTCCCGCCTTTCCTGCCTCCTCGCGCGCTCTCTCTCTCTCTCTCCTTTGCCTTTCTCGGGGAGTTTCAGTCCCTGAATGCAGCTAGAGTAGCCCTGGCAATCTAAGCCCGGCACCCGTGTGTACATACACACGCACACACATGCACACGCGCTCGCACACACGCACTTCGGCTCTCCCCCCGGGGACATGGAGCAAACCCACAGCTTCATCTACCTGAAGGAGATGGCCCGGCCGGACACTTCTTCATCACTTGCCATCTCCGGAGGGCAGAGCAGCACTGGAAAGAGAGAGGCTCGCTGTCCGGTCTGCAACCTCACGCCGTTTGCCGCCACCACCGCTTAAAGTATCCAGGCTGGAGAAGAGGGCTTCTCCGGGCCAGATCTCAGTCGTAGCTTCGCCGCCCTGGGACTTCCTCCGGCTGGTTCACTCCGGTCTTTTTCCCTCCTCGGCCATCCTCTCCTCTCCGGCTGCAGGGTGTATGGCTCGGGCGCCTTCCGTGCTGCCGCCACGGTCACTGCTGCTGCGAGCTCATCCCACCCGGAGGACTAAACGCCGCGGCTGGAGTGGGGGGACAAAGCGGAAGCCCTAACTTCCCTCCCGGCACCCGCCCTCTCCCCTCCGCTCCCGGTCCTTCTCCCCGGCCGAGGACCGCGGAAGGCTCCCGCGGAAGGCGAGGCGAGGCGAGAGCGCGGCTCAGGCGAGGGCGAGCCGGAGCCCCAGGAACGCAGGGGCGGGGGCAGCATGTGCCCCGGCGCCGGGTGCTCGCCCGGGAAGTAGCGCGCGCTGGGGCGAGCGAGGCGCTTTCCAAGTTGGGCGCGTCCCAGAGCTCCCGCCCAGCGCCTCGGCTGCCTCTGTTGGGAGAGAGGCGGGGCTGATGGGGGGCGCCGAGGCTGCCGTCGCCTGTGGCCAGAACCCGTCTTAAAAGAACCCGGGTCAGCATCCCCAGGGTCCCAGCCGGCGACGCGCCCTCGGTCCGCGTGCGCTCTCTGATGCCTGCTCCAGCGGTGGCCCGGGTGGCCCGCCCGCGGGGGGTGCCGGAGGGGGCGGGGGAGGAGGAGGAGGCGGTGTGATGGCCCTGGACGGCGAGCGGGGGGAGCAGGAGGAGGAGAAGAAAAAGAAGAAGAAGAAAAAGAAGAGGAGGAAGAAGAAGAAGGAGGAGGAGGAGGAGGGGGCCGAGAAGCGCAGCTCACCCTTCGCGGCTACGATGGGGGAAGACGACGCCGCGCTCCGGGCCGGCGGCAGGGGGCTCTCGGACCCGTGGGCAGACTCGGTGGGAGTACGACCCCGCACAACCGAGCGCCACATCGCGGTGCACAAGCGGCTGGTGCTGGCCTTTGCCGTGTCCATCGTGGCGCTGCTGGCGGTCACCATGCTCGCCGTGCTGCTCAGCCTGCGCTTCGACGAGTGTGGGGCGAGCGCGGCGCCGGGCGCCGACGGTGGCCCTGCGGGCTTCCCCGAGCGCGGCGGCAACGCGAGTCTCCCGGGATCGGCCCGGCGCAACCACCACGCAGGCGGGGACCCCTCGCAGCCCGAGGCGGGCGGGGCGGCCAGCCCAGGGACCCCATCCACCCAGCCGCCGTCGGAGGAGGAGCGGGAGCAGCGGCAGCCGTGGACGCAGTTGCGTCTGTCGGGCCACCTCAAGCCGCTGCACTACAATCTGATGCTCACCGCCTTCATGGAGAACTTCACCTTCTCCGGGGAGGTCAACGTGGAGATCGCGTGCCGAAACGCCACCCGCTACGTCGTGCTGCACGCCTGCCGGGTGGCGGTGGAGAAGGTGCAGGTGGCCGAGGACCGAGTGGCCGGGGCTGTCCCGGTGGCCGGCTTTTTCCTCTACCCGCAGACCCAGGTCTTGGTGGTGGTGCTGAATAGGACCCTGGACGCGCAGAGGAATTACAACCTGAAGATTATCTACAACGCCCTGATCGAGAATGAGCTCCTGGGCTTCTTCCGCAGCTCCTACGTGCTCCACGGGGAGAGAAGGTATGAGGGAGGCGGTGCCCTGCGCCGCCCCACCCCGCCGCGCGGCAGCAACCGCGGTGCGGCCGGCGACCTCGGGGACCCGGCTGGCTTCCAATACCCGGGAAGCCAGGGGCAGGGGAAGGAAGCGAACGCGGGATAGGATGGTCACCCAGAATCCCCCGGGGTCTCCCGTACACTTGGGCTGCTATTGCTGCCAACTCCACAAACTCACTCGCCGGAGCCAAAGACGAGTGCCGCCTTCTCCCCTGGTCGGGACCTTCCCCCTTCCTCGCCAGGTGGTTTGTAATCTGAGCGATGCCAGAGTGACAGGAAAACTGATCAAGTTACCGTCGAGGGAAAAGGTGGGCGCCAGAGACCAGGGCAGCAGCGAACCTCGGTTACGATGTCAGGAAAGGGCAGGGCAGACACCTCCCCTCCCTTCAATATGCCCACCTCCCCGGACTATTAGTAGTTCCCTGGCGGGTGCAGAGCGGTGAAATGGGCTTTGGCGGCTTAAAGTTTTCCGAAACTTCAAGTTGAGATTCCCAGCAAAAAGCGTCGTTCCTAGTGACAGGCTGAGGGGTGGGGACGGGGAGTGGGGAGTGGGGACGGGGAGTGGGGGGTGGGTGACAGCTGCCAGAGCCAAAACCAGAGAGAAATGACCTCGTGGGGGCTGCTACCTCTGAGCTAACGCAGGGTTACTCCAGTTGTTTGTTGGTGAAGTACTATCGCCTCTGGAGATGACTCCAGTGTGAAGAGTAGGACCCCCTAGCCCTTTAGTTAGTTTCAAATGCCTTGTTGGTGAGCACCTTTCATACTTTTTAGAACGTTTTAGGGTAGTATTTTTTAAAGCTAGTTTTATTTTTATTTTTTGAGAGGCTGTGGGGCTTTTCATCAATTGTTTAGCGCTTAGATTTCAGAATCCAATAGCTGTGAGTTCGAATCCCCACTGTTTCTCCAGTTATGGTGAAGGTTTGAGGCAGGTGAGTAATTTAAGTTGCCAGCTCCTGGCAGTGACTACCTCTAGGGCTTGTTGTGCAGGGTTCATGAACTCTATCCTACAAGAACTCCGTGATGTAGATGCTAGTATCAGCATTCTCTATTTTATAGGTGGGGAAATGGAGCCACAGAGAAGTTACATAGCTCGACATCACGGAATGAGCTGACAAAGCACAGATTTAGATAAAAAAGTTAGGCTCTAGAGGACATGCTTTTAATTCTAACGTCTAGATAATACTACTACTATACTTATAGAATTGGTGTAGATGTCCATGAGTGAATGCATTAAGAAGCACTTAGTTTTCTGCCTGATATGAAGAATGTCCACCATAAATGCTAGCACTCACGGCGTCTTGTGGCAGTAAGCTTTCACATACATTGTTGAATGAGTGAATAAGTGATTCTTCACTGCTTTTAAAATAATTTCAATTAGTTAAACAACTCTAGGGCAGATTAACAACTAAAGTGAGCTTACACATGAAATCAACAACTTTAACAGAGGAGGCAGGTTGGAGATTAGTAATAAGGCAGAGCCTCTCCTTTTCTCAGGTAATTCTCATAACAGAAAACCAGGGCTCAGAGCACGCAGGGCAGGTAGGTCAGCAAGCTTGTCAATGGAGAGCTAGGACTTGAACTTTGGCTTTCAATCCCGAATCCAGAATGAGCTCATGATATTTGGAACCTCTCAAGAAGTTATGTAAGAGGATGGAGAAATTTCTATGTGTTATGGGAGTACACAAAAGTTTTACTATTTGTAGAGTGACATGAAGTAACTGCCTGCAAATAAAATGCCCTAATGCTTTAGTAGTTGTATGATAGTTAAAACTTCCTATAAGTGAATATACAAATTTTTAATTCCTAAGATCAGATATGGGTAATTGAAACCCCTTTCTACCACTTCCTTCAATATATTCTAAAGAATACAAAATAAAAATATTTGCTTTTAGACCCATAATTAGGCCAGGTGTGCTGGTTTATGCCTGTAATCCCAGCACTTTGGGAGGCCAGGACAGGAGAATTCCTTGAGCTTAGGAATTCGAGGCCAGTCTAGGCAACATAGCAAGACCTCATCTCTACAAACGAAATTTAAAAAAATTGGCTGGGCATGATGGTGCACACCTGTAGTCCCAGCTACTTATGAGACTGAGGCAAAAGGATCACCTGAGCTCAAGAAGTCAAGGATACAGTGTGCTGTGATCCTGTGACTGCACTCCAGCCTGGCTGAGGGAGTTAAAAACCAACTTCAAAAACAAACAAACAGAAATTACAATCAAAATACCCCAAAACATCCTCCTCACACTCACAATTATATCAAATATAGGAGACAGACATACAAGACAAATTTGCATGCTGTTTAGAAACAAGTTTGTTATGTCAAAAATGTCAATGGTGGGAGTTGCATATCATTACAACATCTTGGTGTGGTGAAATAAATACTTCCAGCAAAAACTGTTTTTGAGTCATGCCAAGATATATTTGGCAGGACTGAGCTTGTTTTGGTCAGTGCTTTCAAATTAACAGGAATTTTAAAAAGACCAGATGTTTCTGCTTGACCCATAGCTGATTTCCTATACCCCTAGTGTATATTTGTATTCAGAGTCTCTCCTGCAGTTTTTCCCCAAAGAGGTAAATAACTTGGTTGAAAGATTATTAACCTAGTGCTCATACGATTAAACTCTGCACCCCAATAGAAATGCAGGATTCAGTGTTCTGAAAAATCCCAGGATTGCTTTATTTTTAAACAGTATCTTAGAGAAAGTTTTTGTTCCTCATTTTTTCCCCTCCTCATTACCAGACCGAATCTGATAATTTCTTGGCTATTTCTAGTGGAGTTGATAAGGCAAAAGAGATCTGATAAACCATTTCAGAATCATGTCAACACTCCATATATTAAACTTTTTTTGTTGTTGCTTTGTTGTTTTTAAACAGACCAATATCAGGAACTCAGTTAGGGTTGGAGTTTTATTGGTGTTGATTTTGTTCCCAAAATGCAGTGTAAATTGGCATTTTAAAAACCACTTTTACATAGGACACAGATGCAAACTCTGATTTTCATTTGATTGATGATTAAATATCTTGAACTTTAGTCATAATTTTTCCAATTTAATTATAGGCTAATTTCTGTAATGAAAACAAATGTTTAATCTGCCAGAGGGAGTAACATTGAGCAACTTGAAGTACTTAAGAACATACTTACAACTCAGTCCCCTTTACTTAGCCTATGTGGAAACAATAACTCATTAATGTCCTATCACTCTGATCCTTCGGTTCACTTTTCGGAGATCTGAGAGAAAGTATTTTGGTGAGGGCAGAAAAATTAGATTTCCACTGTGTGCTATATACCTTGGACCTCTGAAAGGTTTTTTATTTTTCATTGGTGTTGGACGAAGCCTGGTTTTTTACTACAGGGAAGACTTGCTTTTCCTGGTTTTCACACTGTAGAGGATAAAGGTTAGAAGACAAGCTCTCCGTTGAAGCCCAAGGTTTCCCAGCTGGAAGCAAATTCTCTACTCTTGGTTACTCTTTTGGCTAAGAAAAAATTCAACACTTGTTGAATGATGAAAATAGATACATTTTTTTCTAAAAATTGAAATGTTAACACACAAGCGCAAATTATCTCTGGTCAGCAGAACACATATTCACTTTTTCCTCAACTAGGTGTGCAGCAGGCAGATAAAAATGGGTTTGCATTTATTCCATAGTCTCCTATTGGAGAATATGCTTGCTTTGAATTAGGTAAAAAGTTCATTTACCTGAAGTAATTGCTGCTTTTGGGTAGCCAGATGGTGAGCACACCCATGTTCAAAGTACCTTAATTTAGATCCAGGTGGTCGGATTGAAAGGGGAAATTTACCCAAGGTAAGTGAACATTTTATTCACTTTGTAAAGAGAGGCTGTTTTTCTTTAGCAAACTTTGATAGGGTCTGTAACATGCCAAAGTGACAGAAGATGGAATGAAAATAGGAGACCTTTTTTCTATAAAGGATTGTTCAGAGCCAAACTATTATTTCTGAGTAAAATGGGGAGACAATAATTGTGATTTTTCAAAGGGAGTTGGGACCACCCTTTTGCAAAAATTTTGTGAAAGCATGAAGGATTTTATTCCTAGGTAGGCATTGACTCTATTTTGGTATTAGTATATGTGGTTTACTGTCTTGTAATTTTCCTAGAATGACTTAATAGTCATGATATTTAATAAAAATAAGAAAATCACATTGTTTTATATTGAAGGCAGTTTTTTCCCCATTCATTTTGGCAAACAGGTAGTTTTACAAGACCAACTGGGAGTAAGTAGCAGGCTTTTTGTTCCTCTATAGAAGGCTGTGAACTGAAAAATCTTTGAGAACTATTTGTTTCTCTGAAAACTTTTTTCTATGATTCCTTTATGGTCTTAGCTAACTGTTTTCCTGCCAGGTACACATAACCATATGGCTAAGCGGGGTCCAGTGCTGGATTTTGGGCACAATTCAAAATGCCACCAGTAAACTATATCTAGAGAGTATTTTAACAAAAAACTCCGTCCATTTAATACTGACTCACCCAGGGAGAAAAGTTCATACAATTGGTGTTTGTCTTGCGGTGCTTTTTTGGTGGTGCCATTTGATTTGATCATGCTGTATGTAATAAAATATAGTTTCTGTGAAAGTGTAAGATTATCTAGCCTGTGGTTCTTTCAAATTTATTTATTTATAAATTAACACATAAAGTTATATATATATATTTATCACGTACAATATAATGTTTTACATGACATGTGCATTTGGGATAGTTAAGTCTAGTTAATTAACAAATGTATCACCTGATGTAGTTATTTTTGTAATGAGAATACAACATCCATTCTCTCAACATTTTTTCAAGAATACAATATATTGTTATTATAGTTACCCTGCTGTACAATAAATCTCTTGAATTTATTCCTCCTATCTAATTGTAATTATGCATCCTTTGACCAGCATCTCAAATCCCCTCTCCCTCTAACCACCCATTCTCTGGTACCATTTTACTCTCTAATTCAATGCGAT